GGGTGAGGAGGGATGCTAGGAGGGGTGAGGAAGGATGCTGGGAGGGGTGAGGGAGGGATGGGAGGGGTGAGGAAGGGATACTGGGAGGGGTGAGGAAGGGATGCTGGGAGGGTTGAGGAAGGGATGCTAGGAGGGGTGAGGAAGGGATGCTAGGAGGGGTGAGGGAGGTATTCCCATTAACGCCGCCATTGAGATGGATTCAGAAACACACCGACTCACAAAGGTAAATATAAATACTCAAAGACTCACTGATGGAGAGGCTCACAGATACACAGGCTTACAGAGCAACACAAAGACACACTCAAAGTACAGACTTATAAACAGTCATACAGACAAACACTCACAAGAAAGACGGAACAAAGCTATGAAAGACGACTCAAGACCCGCACTCGCTGGAACTACCATACACTAACACACGGAAATAACTAATAACAAATATAGACTCGGATAAACACACTTGTCAACCCTCAGTGAGATAAGACGTGCCTGAAGGCGCTCTCGGTTTTAGCAGCCAGGCCGAATCTGTTTGGCCCTGCCCACTCCCCCTGCTATACCCCAACGCCCTACCAGCCTTACTACACCAGGATCGATTCAGCAAAACATTCTAGTGATTAGTGAACGAATGATTACGGAGCAGTGTTCCTATAGTGCACCTAAGGAACTTTCTCGGCAAAACATTCTAGCCATCAGTGCAATAAGTGATTACCATACAGTGCCCGATAGTGCACCCCAAGGAAAAGTCAGACAGTGGGCACTTTATCGGTCAACTTTAAAGTGCCAGTGACAAGGACCACCGCGGTGCTTACATATATCGTGAAAACTGTGTCGGCGACCCCAAGCACCGAGGACAAAGTCCACGGTCTTTACAACTGACAAACATTAACAGATGTCTACCAGTGTCAGTGTCCCTCAAAGTGCCGCCAGTGACAAACACTTCCGTCCGCCCACAACAGATTTCAACCGATGGCCACCAATCACTTACTCCCGAAGCACTCTGTATCATCTAAAGCGTGGGAACGGTTATCCTGATGGGAGTGTTATCGCGCTACTCAAGTCACTGAAAATATTCCACGCGCGGAGCCGTAGACAAGGCCGTCATGCACATAAGCCCATTAGAACCGTAACCTCCACTAGGAAACCGGAGAAACCCACCCCTGACAGACCATACCACCACACTGAAGTTCCACGGATATGGTATGATCTCCCGTCTTTACTGCTATCCAACGTCACTTCCCTAGCTAACAAGTTCGACGAGCTGGCAACTACAGTCAGGTCAACCGCCGCGCGCGTGGTTGCCATATGTGAGACCTGGCAAATTGTACCTGAAACGTGTCACATTGAGGGATATCAACTCTTTCATCACCTTCGTCCACAAAGACGCGGAGGGGGCGTTGCCCTCTTCTGTCAAGATGACCTACGCCCGTCACGCCTGGATGTTCAAGTCCCAGCAGATGTGGAAGCATTATGGGTACGTGTCGTGCTGCGGGCACACCCACGCAACACTGCTTCCATTATTATCTGTGTGGTATACCATCCGCCTCGATCACCCACCAGAGACACTCTTATCAATCATCTCATCACCACCTCAGACCACCTCAGAGTTAGGTACCCATGTGCCAAGTTAGTATTATGTGGGGATTTAAATGAAATTGACACCACTGATATCCAGGACCAGCTATCACTATCACAAGTCGTGACCTTCCCCACACACGGTCAAAACACCCTTGACCTTATCTTAACTGACTTAGCGGACCAGTACCAACCTCCTCAACCACTGCCTCCTATCGGGTGTAGCACACACTTATCAGTGCTCTGGTCCCCTGCTGCCACTCCCACTCAAGTACAGAAACCCTACATCAAGACCTACAGGCCGATTACTGACTCTGCAGTACGCCTCTTTGGGCAGTGGATAGTTCACTATCCCTGGACTGAAGTACTCAGCGTGGATGACGTGGAAACCAAATGGACAAATTATACCAACACCACCACCGAAGCTCACCACCACTTCCCCGAGAAGTCCGTCAGATCTCACCCAGCTGACTTGCCCTGGATCACACCTCGGATCAAAAGACTAATGCAACAGAGAGACAGAGCCTTTCATCTCAATGACCACATCCGCTACAGGTCACTTCGCAACAGAGTCATCCGCGAAATACGCACTGCAAAGAAGTCCCACTACCCAACCAAATTACAACACCTGAAGCAGACCAACATCAGTCAATGGTATGGTAAGCTTAAAGAACTCTGTGGACTAAACAATATGACACACCCCCTCCCCTTCCTTAGCCATCTCACTAATGTTGACGCAGCTGAGCAAACAAATAACCATTTCGCTACTATATGCCAGACGCTCCCCCGGCTTGATACAACCACTCTCCCTGCTTACCTACCAGCCCCCCTTCCCACTGACTTAGTAGAGGAATTTGACGTAGCAAAACGCCTGGACAAACTAAAATTAAAACGCTCTACCACCCCCATTGACTTACCAATGAAACTATTCAAGGAGTTCTCCCCGGAGCTTGCTAAACCCCTCTGCTCCATCATCAATGCTTCTCTCAGTCAAGCCAGATGCCCAGCTGACTGGAAGACCTCTTATGTATCACCAGTGCCCAAGTCAACCAGCCCACAATCCTTAAATCAGCTACGACCTATTGTAATCACCCCAATACCCAGCCTAATCTGTGAAAGTTTTGTGTTTGACTGGGCTTATGCTGATATTGCAGGAGTCGTAGACCCTCAGCAAGTTGGCAACATGAAAACTTCCTCCACCACTCACTGTCTTGTCAGCTTTCTCGATTACATATACCGCCATCTCGAGAAACGAAAAACGTCTGTAGCTGTCGCCTTCATTGATTTCACTCAAGCATTCGACCTAGTCGACCACAATATAATCATCAACAAAGCTATTGACCTCGGGCTTCGGAGAAGTCTCATACCATGGCTTACAGACTTCCTCAGTGACCGACGCCAAGCTGTACGCTTCCGAGGGGCTGTCTCCACCTTTCAGTCACCCACCTGTGGCGTCCCCCAAGGCACCAAGATGGGACCACTCTGCTTCCTTATGCTCATCAATGATGCCCTAAGAGAAACCCCTGCTCGCTGGAAATATGTCGACGACTCCACCATTGGGATCAGCGTCAACAATTCTCCTCCCAACTATACCGCCCTTCAGGATTTATTGACCAGTCTCCAAAACTGGGCCACCAACAACCATGTCACCATCAACCATACCAAGACCATGGTTATGCACATCAACCTCTCCTCCGACATTGTCCCACCTCCTTCCATTACCCTAGGTCCGAACACACTCCAGGTTGTAGATTCCACGAAGCTCCTCGGCGTCACCATAGACAACAAACTAAATTGGAAACCACACGTCAGTGAAGTTGTCAAATCCTCCAGTTTCCGTCTCCACCTCCTCCGCCGACTCAAGTCCCTCGGAGTTCCCGCACACGAGCCCCTCAGTGTATACACAACATTCATAAGCATTTCCCCAAGCTCGTACTCATGCCTCCACTCTACCCGGTCTCCAAACGCATAGCGGCATGCAAGATTATTCTCCCCTTCCTACTCCACATATCAAGAAGCGCTTCAACACACTGGACCTCGACTTTCACCGACCATCACCACGCACCCCCACATCTGCAAATTTGCAAGAAGCTTCTACACCATCCCCGACACCCGCCCCACATACTTTCGACCTGGCCGAGGCCGAGGATGACACCACAACCGCATCCAGCCCATTACGTGCACGAACCGATCGCCATAAGAACAGCCCAGTCCCAACCATTGTAAAATTATCAATACATGTAATAAATCAGTGTATTCACTCCCAGTAAACACTGCTCCCTACACTGTCACTATGTTGAAATGAACTGTAGTTTGAGCTGATCCCCATCTAAGCTACTATATGTCTTATTTGTGTCACTTATGTCACTTGTATATTATTTGTAATTCGTAACCCATTCCCCAAATATGTAACTGTATATTTTCAGCCTTCTGGCTGCCAAGCTCTTTCAATAAACCGTTAATTATTATTATTATTATTATTATTATTATTACAATAATATAATACTCATCTCAGGAAGTCAACAGGGCGTAAAAATAGCCATGGTAAAGATTTTCCACGAAGAGCGAGGCAGTTCACCCACACGTCTGGCGAGGAGAGAGAGAGAGAGAGAGAGAGAGAGAGAGAGAGAGAGCTGCTTTTATATAAGTCAAGATTATATAGCACATGGGCACTTCACATAATATAAACATAGGCAATAAACGTTAATATAAAAGCCATTTCTTTACTATACAGGACAAGTGGATAAAACTCTCCCCGCCTGTCCTAAGGATCGATGGTTCAATTCCGGGTAACTTCTTAGCTAATCCTAACTTCACAGCCTGTGTCCTGAAGGCTGGAAGTATTATGTGCACTGTATCCAGGCTGTTCCTAATGTGCCATCAGGCCTACAGGACCCATGTTCATTTTCACAAGATTAAGGCTCCTCTATAAACAGACACAACACCACAATAAACTCAAGGTATTATCATATAGAGTAGGTTATAAACGCCACAATAAGCAAAAGGCCTTACCACACAGTATACACCATTAGCGCCACTTTAAACACGAAACATTACCATATATACTACGTGCTAAAGACGTTCTCACAACACATTTCCACAACATCCATGGAAAGCGCACCACCGTGACCACTAACTGCGCGCCACCTTCATGCTTGGTAACGCCACTAGCACAGGTGAGGAGGCGCCACAATACCCTTAACGCCTCAACTATAAACACTCACAGCTTACCACAACTGTTGAGATAAATCGTTGTTGTAGAAGATTACTTGCAGCATTATTGGTTTCCGCTAGTGCTGGGAGGACGAGTTAGCCTTGGTTGCCTCCCCATGTGTACGTCCTCAGTGCAATTAGGTGGTGTGAAAAACCGAGGTGAGGTGAGGTTAGGTTAGGTTAGCTTAGGTTAGGTTAGAATAAAGCTTTTATCACCAATGAAGGAGTCTCAGCACCCTGTAGTCACCCTCAGTCCTCCACACTCTACAGGGCAGGAGTCTCAGCACCCTGTAGTCACCCTCAGTCCTCCACACTCTACAGGGCAGGGGTCTCAGCACCCTGTAGTCACCTTCAGTCCTACACACTCTACAGGCCAGGAGTCTCAGCACCCTGTAGTCACCCTCAGTCCTACACACTCTACAGGGCAGGAGTCTCAGCACCCAGTAGTCACCCTCAGTCCTCCACACTCTACAGGGCAGGAGTCTCAGCACCCTGTAGTCACCCTCAGTCCTACACACTCTACAGGCCAGGAGTCTCAGCACCCTGTAGTCACCCTCAGTCCTCCACACTCTACAGGGCAGGAGTCTCAGCACCCTGTAGTCACCCTCAGTCCTCCACACTCTACAGGGCAGGAGTCTCAGCGCCCTGTAGTCTACATCAACACTTTCAGTAAAGTCTGAGATATTTTCAGAATTTCTCAGTCGAATGATAAGATCTCAGGAGCCGCTCGAACATCATTCATGTTCAGTGAAGCTTGAAGGAGAGCAGCTTCAAGCTCAAGCTCTATGAGGTCAGACAATTTTAGTAATAATTCTTTCACTGTTGAGTACAAGGCTCAGTGAAACTCTTCCCCGGCAAATATAAGTCTTCGTGTGGAGCAACTTGTGAGGTTTACTCCCCATGTTAAAAGGAAACAACTCTCACGTGACGTAATAATATATCTGTTGTCGACAATACAAGTCTTGTCACATACAGTCCTCAGCACCTCAAGTGTTGTACTTTACTGTAAATGTTCAGACATCGTCATTACTGCTAACAAAACAGCTTTCTGTCAGGCTGGAGGCTAGACAAAAGAGAGAGAGAGAGAGAGAGAGAGAGAGAGAGAGAGAGAGAGAGAGAGAGAGAGAGAATATCAAGTGAAAATGTTATATTGAACAGTTGACGTCAATGGCATTAAGCAGTACACGCAGGACAAAATGTTGCTATGGTAAGAAATATTTGTCCCAAAAACCAACTAAATGACATTACAAAAACACTGGACATGAAACTCGTATTGGAAAACTATAACACAATAAAAGTGGAACGTAAACATCACCTGATCAAAGCGATAAAGCCATAACAATTTAGGCAACGAAATACGATATTGTTGGAGACTGAGAGAAAAAACTCACTTATTGTATTATAAAAAAACAAAACATATTCTGTTAAGTAAGTCAAAGAGCGGCTTAGGTTGTGTTTATTTTACCTATAAACATATTTTAGAATTGATGAACTTTAATTCTGATTAATACAGTTTAAATTTACTTTGGTCGCTAGTGTATTTCTTGCCCCGAGTTTTACATCTGTACTCATCATGACGCTCAGTATACGAGAGCCATTCAGGGCAGGATGCAAATGCATTACAGGAGGATCTAAATAAACTGCAGGGGTGGTCTGAAAAATGGCAAATGAAATTCAACACCAGCAAGTGCAGCGTACTTAATATTGGAAGAACAAATACTGATAATGTATACAGCCTTAACAACATCAACCTAGAGAAGTCGACTTGTGAAAGAGACCTAGGGGTACTTGTAAGCCCGGACCTACGGCCTAGAAAACAGTGCGTTAATGTTCGAAATAAGGCAAACAGAGTATTGGGTTTTATATCTAGAAGTGTAAGTAACAAGAGTGCAGAGGTCTTATTGCAACTATATCTTGCGCTAGTCAGGCCGCACCTCGATTATGCGGTTCAGTTCTGGTGCCCTTATTATAGAATGGATATCAATTCACTAGAGTCGGTGCAGCGAAGAATGACAAAAATGATTCCGGGACTTAGAAACCTTCCATATCAGGATAGGTTAAAGAAACTTAACTTGCATTCCCTAGAAAGACGAAGAGTGCGGGGAGATATGATAGAAGTATTTAAGTGGGTGAAAGGAATCAATAAAGGTGATATAGATAAAGTTCTTATAATATCCGAGCAGGATAGGACTCGGAGCAACGGATTCAAGTTGGATAAGTTTAGGTTTAGGAGGGAGATAGGAAGGAACTGGTTCACAAATAGGGTGGTGGACGAGTGGAACAAGCTTAGCAACTTTGTAGTAAGTGCGGGAACGCTAGAAAGTTTCAAAAGGAGTCTAGATAGATTCATGGATGATAGAGAGTGGTAGTAACTCTCGACAGGAGCTGCCATGCACAGGTCAACCGGCTTATTGCAGACTCCTTATTTTCTTATGTTCTTATGTTCTCCTTCACCCTCACAAATCACCCAAATCCCCCTTTCTCCCTTTCCCCCTTCACCTTGCCCATCCTACCCCTCGTTTGCTCTCTCTCTCTCTCTCTCTCTGTCTCTCTCTCTCTCTACAAAAAAAGAGCACCAAGGATTACGTCCTCAAATTTTTTTTTTTTTGGTGGGGCATCGACTTCAACCCACCTTTTTCCTCTCCTCGTCCTACCTCCCTCCAACACCCCTCCCTCCATCACCCCCCCTCCATCACCCTCCCTCCCTCCATCACTCCCTCCCTCCATCACCCCCTCCCTCCACACTCCATCTTGCTCCTCCTCATTTTCCTCCCCCTCTTGGTAATTAGTGTCTTGTCTCAATGTGTGTGTGTGTGTGTGTGTGTAAGTAATAATAATAATAATAATAATAATAATAGTAATAATAATAATAATAATAATAATAATAATAATAACCATAATAATAATAATAATAATAATAATGATAAACCACTGTTAGCCCCAGAGATAAATCCCCGAGTTTCCAGACCCTGCCGCGTGGAGGCCAGTGGTGAGAAGGTCCATTTTTTTTTTTTTTTTTTTTTTTTTTTTTTTTTTTTTTTTTTTTTTTATTATTATTTTTAAAGGCTGGGTGGTGGGTGTGGGTGGGAGGAGTCTGGTCCGGCCTTCTGACCTCAGGCCCGACATGGGGGGAAGCGGGTCACCAAGTTGAGGAGGCGACTTATGCCCTGGTCCACCTGATCAGGAAGGCCTGTGAGGGTCACTTCATCACTATTGTCGTTTTTATTGGGAAATTGTATCTTTATTTTGAGCGCTTGAGTAATGGGTCGGATATTTTGGCCCTGAAGACCGATAACCTTCCCGTGTAGGGCCTTGGGGATGCAGAGTGTTTGGGATACTGGTGTGGTGACCCGACGCCTCTCCTTCTCTTCAGCTATCAAAGCCTTTATGCGGAGGACAGCGTTCTTGACGAGAGTTTTGTCTTTCCCTTGGACTGTGATGGGCTCATCCTTTGACCCCTTGCGAGGGACAAGCACCCGGATGTTGTATTTTACCTGTAGCTCCTTTATAGTGGAGCCTCCGGGGCCAATAATGACCCCAAAGAGGCAGTTATCTGCCTTCACCGTCTCTGACACCGTCTCCTCGACCCATTGTGCCCTCATGCGGGACATCGATGGTGGCAGAGGACGACTTCTCTCCTGGTTGACCTTCATAACTTGCCGCCGTTCTCGAAGGTTATTATTGATGCGTGAACTCATTTTATAATACCAGTAACAGCGTAGAACCAGACCACAAGACTCAGATTTTGAGGTGTAAGAAATAATGTAGTAAGAGGCTGTTATAGTGAACTTGTTATAGTGAACATGTTATAATGAACATGTTAAATTGATCCTGTTATAGTGAACCTGTTTTAGTGAACCTATTATAATGAACATGTTAAATTGAACCTGTTATAGTGAACCTGTTATAGTGAACCTGTTATAGTGAACCTGTTATAATGAACATGTTAAATTGAACCTTTTATAGTGAACCTGTTATAGTGAACCTGTTATAGTGAACCTGTTATAATGAACATGTTATAGTGAACCTGTTATAGTGAACCTGTTATAGTGAACCTATTATAATGAACATGTTAAATTGAACCTGTTATAGTGAACCTGTTATAGTGAACCTGTTATAGTGAACCTGTTATAATGAACATGTTAAATTGAACCTTTTATAGTGAACCTGTTATAGTGAACCTGTTATATTGAACCTGTTATAATGAACATGTTATAGTGAACCTGTTATAGTGAACCTGTTATAGTGAACCTGTTATAATGAACATGTTAAATTGAACCTGTTATAGTGAACCTGTTATAGTGAACCTGTTATAATGAACATGTTAAATTGAACCTGTTATAGTGAACCTGTTATAGTGAACCTGTTATAGTGAACCTGTTATAGTGAACGTGTTATAGTGAACCTGTTATAGTGAACCTGTTATAGTGAACCTGTTAAAATGAACATGTTAAATTGAACCTGTTATAGTGAACCTGTTATAGTGAACCTGTTATAGTAAACCTGTTATAATGAACATGTTAAATTGAACCTGTTATAGTGAACCTGTTATAGTGAACCTGTTATAATGAACCTGTTATAGTGAACCTGTTATAATGAACATGTTAAATTGAACCTGTTATAGTAAACCTGTTATAGTGAACCTGTTATAATGAACATGTTAAATTGAACCTGTTATAGTGAACCTGTTATAGTGAACATGTTAAATTCAACCTGTTATAGTGAACCTGTTATAGTGAACCTATTATAATGAACATGTTAAATTGAACCTGTTATAGTGAACCTGTTATAGTGAACCTGTTATAGTGAACCTGTTATAATGAACATGTTAAATTGAACCTTTTATAGTGAACCTGTTATAGTGAACATGTTATTATGAACATATTAAATTGAACCTGTTATAGTGAACATGTTGTAGTGAACCTGTTATAGTGAACCTGTTATAGCGAACCTGTTATAATGAACATGTTAAATTGAACCTGTTATAGTGAACCTGTTATAGTGAACATGTTATTATGAACATGCTAAATTGAACCTGTTATAGTGAACCTGTTATAGGGAACCTGTTATAATGAACATGTTATAGCGAACCTGTTATAGTGAACCTGTTATAGTGAACCTGTTATAGTGAACCTGTTATAATGAACATGATAAATTGAACCTGTTATAGTGAACCTGTTATAGTGAACCTGTTATAATGAACATGTTAAATTGAACCTGTTATAGTGAACCTGTTATAGTGATCCTGTTATAGTGAACATGTTATAGCGACCTGTTATAATGAACCTGTTATAGTGAACCTGTTATAATGAACATGTTAAATTGAACCTGTTATAGTGAACCTGTTACAGTGAACATGTTATAGCGAACCTGTTATAATGAACATGTTAAATTGAACCTGTTATAGTGAACCTGTTATAGTGAACATGTTATTATGAACATGTTATAGCGAACCTGTTATTATGAACATATTAAATTGAACCTGTTATAGTGAACATGTTGAAGTGAACCTGTTATAGTGAACCTGTTATAGTGAACCTGTTATAATGAACATGTTAAATTGAACCTGTTATAGTGAACCTGTTATAGTGAACCTGTTATAGTGAACCTGTTATAGTGAACCTGTTATAGTGAACCTGTTATAATGAACATGTTATAGTGAACCTGTTATAATGAACAT